TTGTATAGGGAAGTTACACCTCTCGAAGCGAAGCAGTGACTCGTCTTGATAATGCCATCTGAGATGATGGCGAAACGTCGACTATCGAATAGTACACAACGGATGAACACCCGGAAAAACAACACATATATATCTTCTTCCTTATTATGTCATCTACAATACCCCTCGAGAAACCGTAAGTGGCTGCTATTTCCTGTATTGGATGCGGGGTATGTTTTGGCATGTATATATTTAAGGAAAATCAATTTAAGTTTTCGGCAACACCACTCTCGGTTTGGATAGAATAAATTCACTTAGTTGAGTAGTTTACTTTTGAAATTAGAAATATTCGGAACGACTGGATCGGAAAAGAAATAAGATACGCGCTGGTGATTCTATTGTATAGTATAGACTAATGTGTGCATTTGTCTCAATCCTGGGTTTATTTAACCATCACTGAGTTATTATTCAATGTATTCTGTGTTTTGAGTTTATCATATCCATTACAGAACATAACATTTAGTGATGTGAACTGTCAGGAATATACCTGTACGTGCTTGTTTTTTTTCTAAATATACCGTATCCTAACCCTCCATATTGGCTCCTCATTACCAAAACGTCAAGAAATGGTAGTTTTCCCTTATTTTCTAACTCATACGTGAATATTATTGATGGACATCTATTATTTAAAATGGAAACAAAGTCCTCAATATTCGATTTTTTGGTATTGAATATCGTGAAAATATCATACACATACCTTAGCCAAATCCTAGGAAAATACTTTGACTTTTCTTTAGTTTCCATTTCGAATCTGCTCATGAACAGGTCTGCCAGGTACGGGGACAAGGGGTTTCCCATGGCCGTTCCTTCCTGTTGTTAATAAAAGCAACATTCTACCTGGAACCGATTTTATTTCATACACAAATTAGTAGGAGAAACGAATTCATTGATTTCGTTATTATTGAGATTATTTTTCTCTAGTAATTTCCTGAGGTATTGCAAGGTCTGTGGAATTGGGACGCTAGGAGATAATGAACTAACATCAAAAGAAACCAAAATCTCACCTTCTTGCAGAACAATGTTTCTTGTATGTTGTATGAAGTCTAAAGAGTTTTTTATACTAAAACTTGGTTCCGCAATAGACAAGGTTTCAAATTCCTTAGTGAGCCACTTTGCTTTTTTACCAAGTCTTTCGGAATATGATCAAACAGGAAATTTAAAAATTGAATTTCACATGATAATCTTGAAATCAAATAACTCAAAAACTGCCTAATGCAAACCGCGTGAATGAAATTATTTCTATTCTCAAATCAATAAAGTCAATAAACGTGTTGACCTTCAAAATATATTGGTCGCAATATGAATTCAACTCAGTACTTCTGCATAGTGTAGAGAAGTGCTAACATATTAACGATGATGGCGTTTTCAATACACTCGCCAAATTTTTCTACGTACTTTCTGTTGATTTGTTCATCGCTTTTTGGAGTGTCGTTTCAAGAAACGAGGGTTTCGACAAAAAATATGAAGTTCCAGCTGAATTCTGGCGATTCCATACCTGCTGTAGGATGTGAGATATTTTTTCTTTACAAAGTGGTACTTCAATATTTTGTGGGTAACTTTTAAACTGTGACAATATCAGGACTTGAAATAGGTATACAACTACCAGCAGAATTGAAAAAAATCGATATAAGTATGCGTTTTCATCGTTGGAGAAAGTATTGAATAGTTTTTCATGTCAACCTTAGTCAAACAAAAGATTTTCGTATTTGTTTTTCAATAAGATTTTGATTTCGATTTTTTCCTCATTTCTTTCTCTTTGTGTTATTTCTCAAACCAATTTAATATGCGAATACCTGCTTAATCTTGAGAATGAAAGTAAATATTTTGATGGGACTCATCATTCATTATTGAGTTAAAAAAATACTCTGTTGACAATGAAGTCGTTTCCTAAATAATTTTTAACGTTGAAATGTTGAAAATTTGAAAGGAAATGTAAGTTGTTTCGTTTCATGCTCAAATGTTTTCATGTTTATGAACAAATGTCTAAGTAATTGTTGCATAAAAAATTTGATATAACGGTTCATACCATTTGAGCTTGCACTATTGGAGTTTGTCAAATGGTATTGAATTTCAAATTGAAATATTTTTAAGAGAGATCAAGTTCTGACAAAGAAAGGTTTTGGATTTCTCAAAAATCAATCTCTCCTGAAACTATACCCTTTCAATTCAAAGGAGATTCCTATAGCTGACTCAATTCCATTACGACTGTTTGAATTACAAACTGAATAGGATATAGCTATTTATGATATAAGTGGTAAGAGTAAGGTTTTATTTTGTGGGTGAAAAAGTTTCACTAACAAAATAATACTTACTTTTAACACAAATATCATACAAAGTTTTTTGTACAACTGTCCTGTTTTCATAATGAAATAGATAAATTGAATATTTCTATAAAAACACATTTTGACATATCTTTTCACTAGAATTTTTTTTTGAAGTCCTAAACATTTTATTTCATCAGTCAATTATAACATCAAAATCAACAGTTCAAAAATAACTTTTCAAAACGATCAAAGGTGCGAAATCGTTTCCTCCTTTTCATAGAAGAGGATGTATGCATCTCCACTCACAAGCTATTTTGGTGAAATTGGTGACAATTGTGAATCATTGTATTCGTGCCACGTGCCAGTATAAGGATGTCTGCAGAATGCTGTATAATGTCCGCTGTAGGTAGACCCACTGTGATTCGAAAGGGCATATAGGTTATAGAGACAAGGAGTCACATTACCTGCTGCATAATTGATCATATCTCATCCACCTAGAGAAAATTCGATGGCAATATTTAACATACCCCAGATCCCAGAAAGGATCGAAGGTTATAGATGAGTGTCCACAATGTGTGCACTTCTTCATGGATTTTAAATGACCAACAAAATTATCTTCAATCTTAGAGTTATATGTACTCAAATAAATCAGCCACGACTCTTGTGCTTTTCCGGTGTCGCTCAATTTTTCGTTAATCTCCGTTAAGGTCGGTTTAGGTGTCTCAATAATTCTATTGACGTCATCATGTAAACCTTCTGAAAGATAACGAAGGAACTCCTGGGCGTCTTGATACGCATGACCCATGAATCGAGGGGCAAAACTCTGACAACTTGACAAGCACTCGGTTTACAATTACAGAGGAATTGCGTTACTTTCTGCATTTTCCAAAATATTCGAGAAAACTTATCAAGAAGTATAAAATCATGTCAATATGTCAATATGGCTTTCAAATTGGCAAGTCCACTCATAATGTCACGGTCAATTTAGTCAATGAAGTCATTTCTAATCTCGATAGAGGTGAAAAAACGATAAGTGTTCAATTCGACTTGTCACGAGCTCTCAACACTGTTGATCACGAGTTACTTTTGAGCAAGCTGTTTTGTCTAGGAATTTGTGGCTCATCTCTGGATTGGTTGGGATCTTATCTGGATTGCAGAACGCAAACCGTGAGAGTTAAACTGGAGGCTGGGACTTTCCACTCTAGAACTTGTGTCGTTCCCACCGGTGTTCCCCAGGGTAGCGTCCTAGGACCTATTCTCTTCCTTTAATTCGTACATGACCTCAACAACAGTAATCGTCAACATTGTACAGTGCAGTTTGCCGACGATTCTTTGTTCACTCTGTCTTCAGATTATGAGGGATTGTCGAGTCAGGCCAATCAAGCAGTTGCTAACATGCGAAAATATTGTTCTCAAAATGGTCTCATTCTGAACAGCTCAAAAACTAATACAATCGTCTTTTCACTACATGAGAATTATCGCAGTGTTCTGGTCAAAATAAATGGCAAGTCAATAAACAAACCTCATCTGTAAAATTTTTAGGTTTGAAAATTGATGCTCAACTCTCTTGGAACAAGCACATTGATTATATTTTGGGTGAAATGTCGAAACATTATTTTGTAATTCGTTATCTCCGTTATCTCCGTAATTTTGTTCCATTGAATATATTGAAGAGCTATTACTATGCTTATATTCAATCTTCATTCAGTTATTGCCTGATCAACTTTGGTAACTGTACAAGAATAAACGAATTAGGTACTAATAGCCAAAAAAAATACTGAGAACAATGTGTTTCAAAAAATATGATGACTCATGTAGGGAGGAGCTGTTTACCGATTTGGATATTCTAACTATTATTTCACTATATATATTCAACTGTGTTGTTACTGTCAAAACTCATCTCGACAAATTTGAAACAAGAGATACTCTTCGGCTCGCCACAGGATATACGTTGAGATCTAACTATAATTTTATTGTTCCCCACCATAAATTGACGATAGCAGCAAACGGCCCTCTAATTATGCCCATCAAGTTATACAACAAACTATCTTTCTCTCTTGAACAGTTATCAAACCTGCATTCCTTCAAAAAAAATGTTAAAAAACTGTTACATCACAATACATTTCATTTCCTCAATGAATACTTCCAGGCTGATTTGGAAATATTAATAAGTTGCAAAAATGCGCGAGTATGACCGCATGTCAATAGATCGACAATTTTCAGAATTAAGAAGAACTCGATTATGGAAGATATTAATTACATGAGCTGAATTCCACTTTTGGAAAACAAGATAGAAGAAACTATTCAAGGAAAATAAAGAAAGCCATCAGAGCACTAGATAAATCTATTTTTTATTTGGATGAAACATGGGTCAATGAGGGTCATACCGTCTCGAAGGTTTGGCAAGATCAGAACATCAAAAGTGAAAGACAAGCCCTAATGGAAGGTTGGTCCACTGGTTTCAAAATTCCAGTTAAAAAAGGTCGTCGTCTTATCATCACTCACATAGGCAGCAGTGAAGGATTCGTGAAAGATGGATTGATGGTGTTTGAATCGAAGAAAAATGGGGATTATCATCAAGAAATATATTATGAAAAATATATTCNCAAAACATATCTCAATGATTTCGTGGGTGAGTTGCAGTGCTATTTGCTTGAGACGACTATGTTGCTTTCTTTGATGTAGCGACATGTTTGCATTCTTGAAATTCTTTTACTCTCAGACAATACTGAACGAACTATAAATATTGAACTTTGAAATGATCGTCAAAACAATGTCAGAACTGATCCCATTTGTCCTCGCGAAAATTGGTCCTTCTAACGCGTATGATGACAATTAATTATTCCATTCTTATTTTTTTATGTTATATACTTATCCAATTCTCCAATTATTTCAAAATTGTTGAGTGTTACCCATAAATGCAAGGGCTGTACTTTGCATATATCATCCTCTTTCTTACAACATAAACAATTTTTCAGTTGGAACTTTCCTAATTGAAGATACCGAATTAGTTCATAATATACTCGATACTGCTCTGTCTGTTGGATACAGACTTATAGGTGAGTGTAAAGAGACAAGATATCCATGCTGTTATTGTATTGCCTTATTCTTTTCAGATACTGCAGCTTACTATGAAAATGAGGAAGCTATTGGAAAGGCTCTCAAAGTACTTCTTCCTAAATATAACCTCACCAGAAGCGACATTTTTATCACAACAAAATTGCGTAAGTCCTGTTGAAATAATAATAGTTTTTCGGTTATCCATTTTTTTTTTGTATTAGACCCCAGCAACAGGGGAGAAAAGGCATACGAAGGACTACAACAATCCTTGAGATATTTGGATTGTGAATATATCGATTTATATCTGTTACATTGGCCTGGGGTTGATGGAGAAAATTTAACGAGAAGTGAAGTGAAAAAATCACGTGACGACGGTTGGCAACAGCTAGTTAGAGGCAAGAAAGATGGTTTAACTAGAAACATTGGAGTATCCAACTACAACATCAGGCATTTAACTGCTTTATTGAAGAATAATCATGGGATAAGGCCAGCACTGAATCAGGTAAAGCGTAACCGTTTTTATTATTAGACCATGAGCTAATGAACAGAAGGAAGAGTGGAGTTTTTTTCATTCGGAGACAAGACCTCCACTAAAATGTTTTATCCATTCAACCCCAGAAATATAACTGTATCAACCTTGTCATTAGTATTATTACACATGCTTCCATGAATGAATGTTTCAAGTTCATATAGAAAAAACGTCAACGGAAAAAACACAAAAACGTTAAGATTGGTCAAAAAGATATTTCTTGTATTTTAATTTGAATTTTGTGAACGATAGACATTTAAGTTCCAGAGGTGCATATTTGATGTGGAAAACAACGTTTGAAAATTCCAGTTTTGAAGTTTGATTTCGTTATCGTACCTGTGAATCTTACATTTACATCATCAATATCAGAGCAAAATGTGATGTTATGATGCAAGTAGGAAGGTTGTTTGGCATTTTGTGGAACAAACAAGCAGCATGAATTTACAACCATCCAGCAGTAATTACTTCATTTAAAATACTTTCCTGTCTACGAACACCTTATATAGGTTGTGTTGGCTTAGGTCCAAAATGAGTGGGATTATTCGACCCTCCACCGCAAGCCGCAAGGATTTATTGTGGCTCACACTTATTCACACTGACCAAATAAACCCAGCTTCTTAATGAAGCCGATTAGTTTGTATGATGAGTGGTCTTTCGAATCAGTTGGTAAGAGTACGGCTGTGCCAAACTCTATGAACCTGATTTGGTTCCCAGCGGGGCAGGCACAAAGTATATGCTCTGCTGTTCCATCGTTAATGAGGTAGTCGGATAGTCAAGGTGCAAGATTCTCACCTTGATACCTGCGATAACCTTCCCATATGAGGATTTATGCACGTCAGCTCCACTTGACGATGCCTTAGATTCAACCGTGCTAGGCTTTTTCGCCTCTGGTTTTGATGAATCATCACTCGAGCGCAAACGTTTGCTTACCTGTTCATGGGGNTGAGAAATGCCCAGCTCAGTATAATATTTTTAGGGTTAAGTTCATTTATGTGTTTTTCGAATCTTACATTAGATTCTCCACACCAAGGTTTTTTGTGTGTTCTACAAGAGCTAATTGGTCACTATCGATAGTACTTTTGATAATTCGAGGTAACGGTAAATTGTTTTTTTGGTTTAAACAACATCATGTTCGATTTACTAGAATTCATCTGATGATAATGCTTTGATGCTTTTTGTATGAAGTTGTGAAGATCTTCATTAATGAAATAACAGGCCGTTTCCACATCCACTGGATTAAAACCGTGTGTATCGCCGGCATAGCTGTGAGCAGTGCAAGGTTCAACAGATTTCAGGATTATTTAGATATATGAAGAAGTGGTCCTAATATAGTACCTCGTGGGACACCGGATTTGATGTTCAGATATCGCTGCCTAATCCCTTCTAGATTCAACAAAACACTTCGTTGAATACTGTTCTTCTTCTATAGGTCTACACTGAAATGTGCGATAGCATATGTTTATCACCTAGGTATAGCTCACGATATCCATTTTAATATTCAAATATATAATTTGGTAATCGGAAAGCTTCTCATGTACTGTTTGGAACCTTTGGTGTAGTAATGAATATTACCGGAGTTTTTT